GACATTTCCGAGCTGCTCCAGCGATAAACTGTGATAATAACTGTGTTTGGCCGCTGTGACATTTACAACGAACGGAGTTGTTGACTTCACTCTGCTCTTCGAACAATCTGAAACAGCAAGCAGAGCAGACGGTTTTGTAAAAGTTAAATTCTCCGTTTAGTGCATTAATAATGTGGACGGAGAGAATAAGATGCATTTAGTGTCTTGAGCAGCATGAATCTGAAGTGTGCAGCTCACTTCAGCTGCTCTCAGACCAGCACTGAAGAGGCTTTTTGTGAGAATTCTTCATTTTCCAGAGCATAGTGGGCGCGTTGATGACTATTCCACAACAGACGTGAGTATCACACCGAAACCTCTTATTTAGTCTCTAAAGTTATTATAAACACACTGAATGAAAGAGCTTTAAAAAAAAACATTTTTATGATTCCTGGTGGAGCAGTGAATCTAAAAAGGGTCTTTTCTCTAAATTATAAATGTGTGAGGAGCTCGTTCACACTTCAGGCCCGAGGACGAGAGACAGAGATGAACGCAAACTTTCAATCATGTATCACTGCCTCCCCAGAGTGAGTGTGTGTGTGTGTGTGTGTGTGTGTGTGTGTGTGTGTGTGTGTGTGTGTGTGTGTGTGTGTGTGTGTGCATGAGAGCATGACGGAAAGAAAGAAATTCGAAAAATTGGTACAAAGACATTAAACCAATATTCAATCTTTGCCATTGTGTGCCCTGATCTTTAAAGTTTGAACAGAGCTAAAGCCTCCGTGTAGTGTGTCGTCAAGTTACACACACACACACACACACACACACACAGACAGACACACACACACACACACACACACACGCACACACGCACACACGCACACACACACACGCTCCGCGCCTACATGACTCATCTGTGTTTGAGAACACACAGAGACAAATGCCATGATTGGAAGAGAGTGTGCAGCACATGTGTGTTGTTCACATCTTCTCACACACGCTCTTCTATCTTTGCGAGGACACTCGGGGATGTGACACTTTTTCCCTACAGCATCAGACGAGTGTTGGAAGTGTTTGATTTCATTTCTGCTCTCGATGTGTCAGAAAATCACCTGCGATGAAAAGACAAAGACATTCTCGAGCTGCTCGATCATCCGTCTATGAGTCGACTTGCACTTTATGTACTCATTGCCCCTCCCCCCCCCACGTACCTGCATGGACTGACATTTTTACAGCTTTGATTTTTCTTGGTTTTTATTTTCTATATTTCGATGTTATTGCTATAATGATATAAACTTTATTATTCTATCTTTGTTCTTTTATCAGTTTTGTTTTATTGCCTCGCTGAGTATGAGGAGGCTTTTCCAATGATTTACACTTGTATTTTATTTTGTGAAGCATCTTCTAACTCTATAAAATAAGGTTTTTTATTATTACAACTGTCGCCAAAGAGGAACAAGTCTAAGTTTCTGTGATGTCACGATGCCGGCGAGGGGCCGACGTTTATCTCACGTGTGTCGGTCGCGATGGGAGGAGGAGGAAACATGGATCAGGCAGGTATGACGCGTCTCGGCCTAAAATGTCCTCATAGTCGAGCTGGTCCTCACAAAAGACAGACACACACGTCAACATTTACTCACGTCCTCGTTAACTGACTGACACAAACCACACACTCTCACCCAAAGACTCCACACTCGCTTCCATTATTCCACTATTTATGTTTCCTGCTTGTTGCTTTAATCAGCATGAAATAGCTTGTTCGCCTCTAATCTGATTGCATTTTGCTTCAAAAGGCCAAAACGAATGGATCCAAAAATATCTTCTCTGTTTGGCATCTTTGCTTTTCCGTTCCTGGCGTTTCAGACACCTGAAGCTTCCACAAAGAAAAGTAGAGACGACTTATATTTAATGATTATGTATTATTGTATGTTCTTCTGCAGCACACACACACAGACACACACACACACACACACACACACAGGGTGCATTGAATTGCTGTGCACATGCTAACAAATGAAAAACAAAACATCCCCGAGAAGACATTGATTAAACTTTTGCATTAGTCATTCCCACTCAACCGTCATGATTGTTATCGACGGAGAAAACTGTTAAATGTGCGGCTGCCTTATTAGAAAATGATGATGTATTCACCGGGCGTCTTACTCCACCTTCTCTTTCATGACATCCTGGATCCTGATAAGACCCTACCTATTTGTGCATCCGCAACAAATCAAAAGCACACAGGGTAAGTAACGTCCAAATACGTTGAACTCCTGCCTAACGTAAACACAGGTGTTTGAAGAACTAAATCAGGACGGTCTCGGTTTAGAGGTTCCTGCTTCTTGTGTCACACAGTGGCACAGTTTCCTTGCCCCAGATTCAGGGTGAAAGAGTCGTCGACAGCACCTGTGTCAAAATATAGATGAATTCAAGCTTCCTTTCTTTCTATTTGACACAACTACATTCTCAGACACACACAGCAGAGTCTGACCGCTGCCTCCTGATGCACCATCTTTAATTTCCACAAAATAACAGCAATCACAAGCCGAGAGATGAAACGCACACAGACTGGAGAGTCGACACCGCACCGTGACCACGAGCGTTAGCCTGGGGTTTACCGATAGTGCTGCTGGTTGCACGGGCAAAGGAGTCGTCAATAAATCGACCAAATAAACGTGCAAGCAGAGTTAAATGAGCCAATAGCTGCAGCTGTGCATCCTCCATTATAGTGAAGGGGATCACACGCACAGGAAGTGGAAGCAGAGTCAGGAAAGATGTGTCACAGGCCGATATGGTGGTCACGGTTTGAAGGATCTCTAGTCAGAAGACTTTTCATCCAACTGGATTTACAACCCGAGCATTAAATTCAAATTCAAAAGAGGGACGGATTTCTTCTCTTTTTAAATTTGAAGGCTTTCCTCTCGGTGACCAGCTCAACTTGTTAAACGAGAGCATGACGGGGACATTTTCGAAGCGTCTCTGAAACAATGGAGTTCACATGACGTGTCACGGCATCGTCTTCAGACACGATGAACCTGTAGGAGACGCTCATCCATCAACAGCTGCTCAGATCATTAAGACAGAAATAACTTGATGCTAAGAAGAAGATTAAGATTCAGTTCTTGAACACACGCACACACACACACACACACACACACGGGAGACCTGCCCTATTCTTCACTCACATCCAATCAATATTCTCCCTCTGTCCCTGTGCATCTGATTGGGGGGATGAAAAGGGTTTCATATCATTACATCAGTTAATCAGCATCATCACATACAATTACTGCTGAATATCGTGTCACAATCAATGTCTCCTCCCTCATCGCAGCCTTCGACGGTTCGTCTGTTCCCCACCTTCCCCTCCACCCTTTCATACCTGTCTTTTTCCTTCCTCTCCGTCCTTTCGTCGCCCACACTGCCCGTAAACTTGGGCAACATCTATAAGGTCAAAGAACATCACGTTGAAGTCCTTAATCTTGTTTTAAAAAGTGCCGCACGTAAAACGTCTGTAACGACCCTGACGTCACCCACTGGTTTGTGAGCTGCTCGTTTTGACTTTTGGACAATGTTTGACTATTTTGGTCCCAGATTTCCTCCACATTCTGTAAAAAAAACATCTAAAACAGACTAGTGAGGAAAGTGACTCATTCAGTATCTTTTGAATTTGGACGCCATAATAACCTCGTCTCTAGTCGTCTTCTTACCCGTGTTAACTGCGCCCAAGTGTTCCTTGAATTAACAAACTGATCTACCGTGTAGAATCATTAAAAATCTAAAACTACAAAAAGGCCGGGCTGTAAAAGAAAAATACACGCCTGTAATGTGTGTGTCAGTTCATGTCACTCCAGCTCCAGTGATCGGAACATGTAAGGTGTGGTCTCCAAACAAAATAAAGTGTCACCAAATGTACGATGGGGTGAGCACACATTCCTCTACACACCACCTGCAGTCATTTCTGCCACATACCAGCCGACGGAGCTGAGCTTACACTTGACACCTTCTGCCATACATCAGTCATGCTGCTTGATTCCTGCACCTGGCAATTCAAGTCACACGACACCCATGACCCGAGAAGGAAATGGGTGGATCTGCACTTGAGCATATCTGGGAAACTTCCAAACTGGTTCAGACGCAATTTGGCTGCTTGAGAAATGAGTTCATTTCTGGGTGTAACATAAAGTCCTACTGCTGATACCAAGCAAGCGCCTGCGAGGTAAAAGCTGCAAATATATTATTAATCTGCGCGAAAAAATAAAAGCAGCATTAACTTCTACTCAGCAACAGCGCCCCCTGCAGCCACGTGTTGACGATTTTGACAAAGGCACTAAACTTCAGAGTGAGAATCCAGACAATATACAATTTAACTGTAAAAACTAAATAAATAAATGAGTAGTGATTTCAGGACGACAACAGACCTGGGTGTATGGTTCTCTAGAAAAGAGGAAGTCAGTATAAGAAGATGTTTGACAGGTTCGGTGTGAGCACGGCCACACAGCGTCACTCTCAAAGGACAGAACGAGAATGCAAGTGATGAATTGAAGTGACAAATGATGTTCAGGCATTCAGGGGAATCACATCTGTGAGCCTGGTTGAATTTAAAAAGATTGAATGTTCTTACTTTAAGCCTTAACGACATTATTTTACGTAAGGAAGTATTCATGAAAATGTCCAAATATACGTTTTTGATGGTTATAACCAAGCTGAGCTCTTTGTTTCTCTCATTACAGCCTTGAAGTTGCTAATGACACCTTGGCAACTGAAAGTAGCAGTGATGACGCTCCGTCGCAGACTTGAGGAGGAATTTGACCTCACTGCTAATTTGACTGGCAGCTGTCCCTGCACCATTAGGCTGCAGAACAAACACGTTTGTCCTGATGCATGTTCTCAGTGAGAGCTCAAAGTTAAATCAACATGTTAGCTGTGTTACGTTCAGAGGTCGGTGAAAGGAGGAAGTGACGGCGTGATGGCTGTGGGAGGGGCTGAACATCAGGAATGAGATATTTAACTCTGGGGACAGAGTGAAGGGGACACAGTAAACATGGCTCTCCAACAGTTTGTGTGTGGTCTAACTGTGACAGTCCTTCTCTTGAGCACAGGTAAGACAGATTGTTTCAAGTTTTCTTTACGGTACTATAGATTTTTTTTTTATCATTGTTCGGTTCATGTCAATAACGGTACAAGTACAAAACGAAAAAAGTTTCTCTTAAAGGCTGGGTGACGTTTTCATTTCTGATAAAAGAAATCAGTTCTTTTAAATTCTTGATATTAAAATGTTTTGAACTCATATTAATCTATTTGTTCGATGTTCCGCCAACAACTTACGTTCCTGGATTTAGCACAATTTGAATTAATTCTGAAGAGGTTTTTCATTTGCATGAAATGGGAACATCCGTAAATTACAGAACTGAATAATCTGATTTTCCCCATCAACCCTTGCTGTGACACAAACTGTTCAAAAAGGTAGAAAAGTCTGTTTTTTATGCAGCGACATCAGTCCAGTCGACTTCAATTACAATATTTATTATTAATCAGATTACAACAAAAAATGCTCAGATTGTTGTGTGAATTTTGTCAGCTGTGTGTAAAATTTTAAAAATATGAAATATCCAAGTTTTAAAAAGCTTCTAGGTTTCAGTTTGGGAGGTTGGAATAGATTTCTGCCCACAATAAAGAAAGCTGCGGTGAAGTTCTACCACTGTAGTGGAAGTACTGAACCTCCTATCAGTCCGTGCTCAAAAGTGCAAGTCATCCTTTGCTCCGCCCTGAACACTGGTTTCATGCATTTTTCTCTCTGTTTTAAATTTCAGGTTGTCAATCAGAGTTTGGTAAGTGCCACTTCTCAAACTCCTCGAAGTTTACAAGCTGTGTGAAGTCAGATATAGAAAATGTTTATAACGAACTCCTGACAAAGAAAAAGACCCAATTTCTGGGACAGAACTTTGAAAATGACTCAACTGAAGTGTGAGAAACACTTGGATATTATTTCATGTTTAATTTTTGTCTCATGTCTCGTGTCAGTTTGCGGCCTGGCTCCCAGGAACCTCAAAATTAGCGGCGGTCGAGAGGCTTCTCCAGGAAATTGGCCCTGGCTGGTTTCTATCGCCGAGAACAGAACCAACATCTGTGGAGGGTCCCTGATTAACGATCAGTGGATATTGACAGCTGCACACTGCATGTCAGAGTACGTTTTCAGAAACATTTTTATGGAAGGTAACAGCGAGGCGGCTCCGCCAAACCTAGTGCTGCCTCCTCCCGACTAAATCCTTCTGTGGAAGCGTTGAGTGATCGATCTGCCTGTCTCTCTTTCAACAACGTTATCGCATTTTTTCTTAATATTGTGCAGCCCTACTCTACAGTTTACCTAGATTTCAAAAACCTGCATACTACTACTACTATTTTAGTTGTGAAAGAGGTATTAAGTATATGTGTATATTTATATACATACATCTTAATTGCATTTTGCGACATTGACAATATCAAGATCTTGATCAACAGTCTGGAAATTGCTTAATTTCCTCAAAGCTTTTTTTGTAATGTTTTTTTTGGAACTCTGTCACAGTGTCAACACATGTTCGTAACTCAGAGTACACGCAGAAGGAAGCTCGACCATCCACATTCCATCCGCGACACGCTGGCATGTCTCTGTTACACAACAGGCAAAGTGGGAAAATTGTTTTCACGGCTTAGAACATATTAATTAACTTTTAATTATGCCTTTCAAATAGTTTCCAGACCATCTCGAACTTAAATCTGTCGATGAGAACAAGTGAAAAGAAATAACTTATTTAATTAGCAAAAGCTTTCAGGAGTTAAAAAGGAGAAGTGAGGAAGAATAAAAGGATCTGTCCATTGCTTTTATTTCTTTGGTCTATTCAACTAAAACTCAGTAGAGTGCACACCTCTGGCCACAGTCCCCTTTTGAAACCATAATGAAATCTACTCCATCCAGATGTTTTGGGTCTGGAAATTGCACACACTCATAAATAGATCCGTGCCCCATCTTTCCACCAAGTTTCATGATTTTTTTTTTGTCTTCAAGGTCGGGAAAGGGCCTAACGATTTACCTGGGCAGCCAAAGACAGTCAGTTTCAGACCCCAATGAAGTGTCACGGACAATCGCTGAGATCAAGTGCCATCCTTCATACGAAGAGCTCACCAACGACAACGACATATGTCTCCTGAAGCTGTCGTCACCTGTGACATTTAACTCCTTCGTATATCCTGTGTGTTTACCCACGGCCAACAGCACTTTCTACTCTGAGCTTAGCAGCTGGGTCGCTGGTTGGGGTTCCACTCGTCCTAATGGTGAGTTCACACATCACACAAACCAAAAAGAAACTTTGAAGGTGGCTTTTCGACACACAACTTCTAAATAAGTCTCAATGTGCTTCAATGTCTCGTCCCTACAGGTGCAATCTGTAAATATGGCTTTGGCCGAGTCAAATCACAGTTTTGCTTTGTTTAGTTTCACACATAAATTTGAATCTGATGTTTGAAATCTCTCCAATCAGAGTGGAGGCCGTCCGACACCCTGCAGGAGGTCAATCTGCCAATAGTAGGAAACAACCAGTGTCGGTGCAAACAGAGATTTCTCATCACAGACAACATGATCTGCGCTGGAGGCAACAAGGAGGGGAACGACACATGCAGGGTAACCACCACTTTTTGTTCTACGATATTTGTTATGTGATGAAGAGGTGAGTAAATCAAGGTAAGATGCATTTGGCATGCAGAAAAAGATTTGGTGTCCAGTCTCAGTCACAAGGCAGATTTTGTATCTCACGTTTGTTGAAAAATAAATGTCCAAAAATGAGGAAAATAGACGTGTACATGTCTGCTAGCATGTTTTTCTCTCCTTGAAGCCGTTGTAAAAACGTTTGGTGTTGTTTGCCTTATAGTCCAGCAGGGGGCGCAGTCAGAATTCACTATTAGCTTGACCTTTTGCTCGCATACAGTTCATGGCATTAACTGTTTACAAAGATGGACGATATAACTGTTCTCCGTAAGTGAAGCCAAAGCGTCTCAGTTGCCACCTGGTGGTTGGCTACAGCGTAGATCATAAATCCTGCCTCCTCCGTGTTAGCTTCAGGTCTTTGTGCTAAGCTCAATTTTATAATAACCGTAGGTGAGACATAAGTTAATAAATAAATATGTTTCCACTTTGTTGATAATGATAATATTTGATATGTTTTTTTCCGAGGAGGTCAAACTTTAACGAGTCAGCACTGACAGAAAGTGTCTCAACAACCATCGTCGGTTTCTTCCCACAGGGAGACTCTGGGGGCGCCCTGGTGAACAAGTTTGGTGGAAGGTGGGTCCAGAGTGGAATCGTGAGTTTTGGAGATGGCTGCGCTAAACCCGACACCCCGGGAGTCTACGTCCGCGTGTCACAGTACCAGGAATGGATCAAAAGCATCACCAGCAATAACCAAACGGGCTTTGTTCTCTTCAAATCCCCCGGAGTCGACAAAGACGCAAACTCGACCTGTTCAACATCAGCACCACTGATCGCTACCACAAAAATCCCCCATCACACCCGCCCCAGAACCTTCAAACCCTCCACAACCGAGGACGACAAGAGCATTTTTGGCGTGGGTGTAAATCTGAAACCCTTCACTCACTTACTCTCGCTCTGCGTTCTTGCTCTGTCGCTGCACGCACTGGTTGGTCATGCATAACGTGGAAATGTGATAGTACCGCATGTTTCACTGAGTACACAAGTGCAACCTTAAGCAACATGGGTGGGGGGTGATGTCATTATGAAGTCACATAATGACATCATACAGTGAGATCATTCCTAACATATGATGATGAAATTATATAAGCTTTAGGTCAAAGTCCTGCAGAAATACTTTTAAAAATGCATTTTTCAACTACTGTATGTATGATGTTATTATCTGACTTCAATGATCATATAGAGAATCATTTTCTGATCAATACAAGCGTTAGATTATATTTAGATTACTTGTAGAGATATTTTGGAATAAGGGTTTTTCAGACCAGGTATTTGTTAATTTTTGACTAAACAAGAGAATTGTGAAGTCATTTTAATCATAAATGGGATTGTTAGACTTGTTTGACTTGGAATAAAATGGACGTTGATTGGACGGATCTGTGTTGTTGTTTGGACAGGGAGCTCACAGAGGCTTTTATTCTGAAAACCCTTTATCTTAATACATGGCTGATGGAAAGCTGTGGGTTGTAAAACAAACAAAACTTAAAGTTTTTTTTCACAATAACAAGGGAAGGGATCTTAAAATAAGATCTTTGGCAAGACATGACTGAAAGGAGATGTCCGCTGTCAGAAAGACGTATGAGCTGAAAGATGGTAAAACGAGGAAAGAGTTGGTGCTAACTGATGAGTTCTATGCACAACAACAATTATTAGTGCGGTTTTACACTAAAACAAAGAAAGAAAATCACCGAATTTTTCCCAAAAATGTGCATCACTGCACAGAAAATGTTGTGTAACACACACACACACACACACACACACACACGTTAAGTGGCTAAAAATGCTACTTCTCTCTCTGCAGACTCAATAAGGTGAAAAATGAAATGCAATGTTATTCCATGTGGGTTTGTGCGCTCATTATTTTTGCGCAAATGTCATCCCTCCTTATGCTCTTAATGTGTGTGAGTGTGTGTGTGAGTGTGTGTTGCACCGTGCAACACAATGTCCTTAAACGTCCTTCATGAAAACAAATTGGGCTCTAATGTACTTTATTTTTCATTTTTAAATACTTGGATGAATACGACTTAAGTCCCCAACAGGACGCTGTAGATAATATATGGCAAACACACTCCAATATGTTCTGGATGGCTGCAGGCGGCCTGGAGCAAACGAGACGGTCTAATTGTTATTCTGCGGCTGTAATGGTGTTTTATTACTGTAGTCTCGGTGGTGAAAATTGTGTTTATGGACTTTTCTCGGTGTCGCACACAGAAAACAACACAAAAAATGAACTAAAAATAAAAACGACCCCACAAATCTTTCTGTGGGGCGAGAGACACCCTCCAGAAAATAAATTCCATTGGTTTTCCTGATGTAGAAACAGTTAGTGAGCGACATTCATCATTTTCATTATAATGAGACATATTTTTAGCAGCGTCTTTTTTTTTTAGCAGCGCAGAGTCTTAGGAAACATTAAGATTATTGAAGTAGTAACAGAAATAGTGTTATTGTGGAGTGCTGAGCTAGAGAGATAAGAGAGGATGACGGACACGTTGCGTGCATGACAGGTCTGTACCTCGTCTGCAAAGTAGTTTCTCAAACGTTCAATGAAAGAAAAATAAGCAGATTCAAATGAGCACAAATGTGGATTAGAACATGAGAGAGTGACCGAACAGCAGCCTGTAAATTACTGGACTGACGGAATAAACTGGTTGAAACACCAGACTAAAGATTACGTTCAATTATGAACTAGAACAAGACTTAAATATTTGAGAATATTACACCAGACCAGACGAAACACCAATAAACTGAACTCTGACGTCCAATGAATATTTAATATTTAACAAGGGGGAAAAAAAAAACATTTTGGTCGTATGAGGGCTGAACTGGAAGTGGGCAATGGTCACAATCATGTAAAGTTTGAACACCAGTAAAGCACCAGACAAGAATACAGGAGTAATGGACTGACAGCCAGACAGAAACATATTGAATATTAAACCAACAGCAGACTTCAGAAAACACGACCAGCTCTGAGCTGCTGTGTCTCATGGGGAAGTTGTTAATGAGCTTCTGTTGAACTTCTTCACTGTTTTACGAGCTAATGTGCAAAGTCATTATCTGACTTCCTGAGTGATTTATCCTCAAAACACAAACTGAACAGGAAGTAGAACTGGAGGAAGCGGGAACACACACAGATCTCGTTTGTTATCTCGTGTTCACTGCGCGGTCCAGATCGAGCGTGTGCTCACACCTTTCCTCAAGTATCATTATATCTACTGAGGAAATGTGCAGAGTGATGTTTTCTTTTCTCTCATGAAAACTACCTTTGTGTCTCAGCCTCTCGCTCCAGGCCCAACAACAAATATCCCTGATGTCAGCACGTTTGAATCGTGTTTGTCTGTGTGTGTGTGTGTGAGAGAGAGATATGAAGTGTGTTTGAGAGTAAATTGCTTTAATCTTCCTCTTTGCAGCCTCAGCTACACCTTTGAACTGTCAGCTTCAGAAGCCACAGAGCAACACACACACACACACACACACATTTAATTGTAATTTAT